ATTATTTATTTAATATTTAACTAGAACATAAATCATATGCTGCATGAGAATATTTAACAGAGATGGAAGTCGAATATTAGGCACGATCACATTTTCAAGGCATCGAACATTGTTCAAGAATGCCGAAAATATATTTCTTCTACTAAATGAAGTCAAGTGAGAAGTTCTCGATTATAGTATGTTACTCTCTACCCAACGGATGTGTAATATCTATTTAAATCGTATGTACTCTCTATTTATAATATATTATTGATTTCCTCAATTTTCTCTATTTATAGTATGTTATTGATTACGTGAAAATTGACCCGACGAATATGTAATATCTACTTAAATTGTATGTACTCTCTATTTATAATATGTCACTGATTTCGTCAATTTTCTTTATTTATAGTGTGTTATATATGTAATTAAGAGTAATTGGTTATTTATTATACAATTACATAAAAATTAAATTATTATAAACGTTTTAAAAAAATACTTACGTTTTAAATTATTACAACTATGGATCACAATGTAAATAATAATAAAAATCTTACATTTTAATGTGTGTTTGGTTTATCAGCTCTACTCACGTCTGATGCTAAAAATTCAATATATTTCAATTTGATCCGAATCCGACGAAATTAATGGGAGATGGATTTAGGGTTTTAATCCGATAACCCAATCGAGATTCAAATTCGATAATTCGTTAACTAAATAAATCAAATATGGATATAGATCGAACCGATCCGATCCGATATCACTAAAACATTCCAAAATGATATTTTAGACCTTCTATTATAATAAGTGAGCCCATCAATATAGTTCAAATATTTTTTAAAATAAATAATTAATTAAATCTTGTTGGGGCTATGATTTTCAATGAAAAAATAAATAAAATTTTTATTTTTCTAATTTTTTCATTTCGGATCTAATTTCTGATAATATAGTTAATCGGATATGAATTTAACATTCAAATATCTGTTGGATTATTGGATTGGATCAAATAGGATAATTATTCTTAACGGATCGAATCGAATTTGAGTAGATCCGATCCATTTATAACCCTAACTTCAATGCAAAGATTCCACAATCGTTCTGGTTCGAATTCACGGAAGAGGTTGGGCAACGTACTGTCAACGAATGTTCTCTTCTTTGCCTCGATGGTGTACGGGAAAATAATGTGTTGTGATAGCAATCTAGTCCTCTTACTAACCATTTGCTTTGACACGTCAATAAACATATTTCTTACATAATGTCACTTTCATCGTCTTCTCTGGCATAATTATCACATTATCCAAACTCGCGACATTATCTGTCAAGTTGGGGGGTCATTTCCGGCATAGTTGTGTATATTAATGTGTGTCTAGTTTATCAGCTCTATGCCACGTTCGATACTAAAAATTCAATGTACTTCAATTAGGGCTGTCAATAGATTGGATTTTGATCTGAATCCGATGAAATTAATGGGAGATAGATCTAGGGTCTCAATCGGAAGATCCAATCAAGATTCAAATCCGATAATCCGTTTACTAAATAAATCAAATATGGATATAGGTCAATCTAATCTGATAAATAAATAAAATCTTGATTAATCTATTTTTTTCAATTTCGAATCGAATATCCAATAACATAGTTAATCGAATATGGATTTAACATTCAAATATCCGTCGGATTATTGAATCGGATCGGATAGGATAGGATAATTATTATTAACGAATCGGATCGAATTTGAGCAGATCCGATCCATATATCCGATCCATTTACGGTCCTAACTTCAATGCGAAGATTTCACAATCACCCGAGTCGATTTCACGAAAGAGGTTGGACAACGTACCGTCAACAAATGTTCTCTTCTTTGCCTCGATCGTATATAGAGAAACAATGTATTGTGATAGCAATCTAGTTTTCTTGCTAACTATTTGTTCTGGCACCTCAATAATATGTTTCGTACAGGGTGTCATCCAAACTCGCGATGTTATCTGTCAAGTTGGGGGTCCTTTTCGGCATAGTTATGTATATTATTTATTTAATATTTAATTACGTTGTTTAATTATTTATTTAATCACTTAATTAAATGAAAAATTAATATTTAATTTAATTTCTTATTTAGATATTTCATTTATAAATTATCTTAATTGGTTGTGTGTAGTATATATCTAATATTTCATTACTTTATTTAAATAAATTTTACAATATATATATAATTATTTCATAAATAAAAAAATATTCACCGAGTTAATGACCATGCATGCATCGTCGTATTTCTTGAATGTATCTCCCAACTGTGTCAGAATTACCGTCATAAGTAGGATCGATGTAACAGTTAAGTTACATAAATTATTTTTATTGCTTAATTAACATTATTATTTATATTTATTTGTTATTTATGTTAATAAATTATTTTTATTGCTTAATTAACATTTAAGTTACTTGTTTATTGAATTTATTTCAATTAGTTATTTATTATTTCAATTCATTATTTTAATTATTTTATTAACATTTATTTAATTTATTTCAATTAGTTATTTATTTTTTATTTAAATAAAAAATATACATAAATAATTAACATAATTCGTGAAATATTTAAACAAACAAATAAAGTATAAAATGAATAATTATATATTAAACAAATAATATACATAAACAATTAAAGTATTATTTGATTTATTAAATTACTTATTAAATATTTAATTTAATATTTATATAAATATCTCATTAATTACTTTAATTGGTTATGTATATTGTTTGTTTAATATTTAATTACTTATTTTAATAGTTTATTT